TTTTGTCTTCACATACATACGTACACACTCCATAAACCAACGTACCAGAATACATGTACATGTACCTGTACTTTCCAATTTGATGTAAATTTTTGCAATAACATTTAACTGTACATTTGTATTCATTTGTAAATGCACTCATGTTCATACATTGTATCCATGACATCACTATGTACGTGTACTTTTACACATCATTTCATTAATGTGGTTTTTTGCATTGTTTAACAGACATGTTCACTGTGCAAGTATACAAATGCAGATGAAAGTATGATTTGTAGAAATTTTGAGATGGAAAATTCTTGGTAATATTATGAAACTGCATAATGTCTGTTTTCAGTTCATTTAGTGTACGTATTTGACTTCAATGCCTAGAGTACATCCTGTTCAATGAAAAGTCATTGAATACCGCAAATAAACGCCCCCGCTATGGGTACATACATGCCATGTTAGCTGGACACACCTTAATCTGCTTGGCAAACATAGAGACTGTCAGACACTGATGAAAGCATGTTATATGGCCATTGATTCATCTATGTCAGGGCGATTACTAGATGCCATTAAGGACTCATTCTATGGTTCTTTGCCACAAGCAGGCCTTTTAGCCATTTTATGTCATAACAACATTCAATTACAGTAAGCAGCTACATGTTGAGCACAAGCAAGAAAATTTTGACCACTGAGTCAGAAGTTGCCATCTTTACTTGAAAACTTACCACCGTGAAATCTTCTTTTTATTTGTATAATTTCCCAAAGTATAATTACGACAATTGTCCAGCAAAATGTGAAGCATTCCCAAGTAGTTGGACCTCACTACCAATAGTTCAAGGAGTTTAGTAATAGATATTTTGTGCACTTTTCCATTTGTTATTGAGCTACCAGTACATTTTAAGTATTAACATTCTCTTTAAAGAGTGAAGACTGAAATGTTGGCATTAGCTGTTAGAGGTACCTGTGTAGCCAGGCTTGTTTTCTTCTCTCTTTTTCATTTCAGCATAACAATGTGGGCATTCAGAAAGTTCTGTTGTACTTCATGGCATGTTTTGCAAATTTTCATTAACTTGGATGTTAGATTGGCGGACATCACACCTGTATTACTTCATGTTGATTGCTGAATGCTTGTAGCCACATGCAGAAATGAAAGTACATGTACATGTAGTGGTTTTTATTTGCTTAAAGAAGGAAAAATAGTGTTTAGGTTAAATGGAGACTGAACTTCAGAGCATGGGGGGATAAATTGAAACAAGCTGCATTCCCAAAAAGTAAAGTGCATTTGGCCATTGGACTGACAAAATTGACAGAAATGAAGAAAAGAAATGTGATTTTTCAGTTTTGATTCAGAGTTTTGGTGAACATTTGTATTGAGCCCTATCAGTAAAGTGTGGAACTGTGGAGGGACATCTGTTATAAAGTCTCTTTGTGTTCTGCTTCAACAATTTAATCAATAGAAATTGTCTGCAAATTCAATGCAGATGTTAGGTTGAAATAATGTGCATAGCCAATATGGGCCTTAGTAAACAGTAACTCAGGTTCAAATTAAAACATTTTAATGTGTAGGAATTGCCATCCAACACTTTATGGATAGCAGTATTTATGCACTTATTTGTGCTGTGTTGACCTGACTCAATGTCAGTATAATTCATTTTGATAGTAAGTTGTATTTCAAATGCAATAAAATATCATAATAAATGAATTAACACAACTTTGAACCATTTGTGGCTTTCCTTGAAATAAAATGATTACATTCAAGTTGTGATTGGACATTGTGTGTTGCTCTTTGTCTTTTATTTGTGTGAATTTTAAATTAGAATAAATTTATGCAGTTCTTACTTAAAACATGGGAACTTTTGTAGAATTCATTCATGGCTGTACCTAACCTGAGTAAATGTGAAGCTTTCAGGAAGTGTTTTGCGCTTGGGCCTTCATTTAAAGGAACTCATCAATTTCGCTTGAAACACTTAGTCTGAATTTAATAAATTTATACCAAAAGCAGTGTACCACTTTAGGGTCAGATATGCAAATCAAAAGTTAAGCTGCCCGAGCAGATAATGTCGAGTACTCGGACTAATGGGTGAAAAGTACAACTGCCTTCATTACCTTGTCAGCTGTTGCCTAGCAACTAATAAATCATTAATGATGAATTGACAGTACAATTAGAACATACACACATGCATATCATTTCCACTTCAAATAAATGGATGAATCATTGTGGAGATTCTGTCAACGTTACACTGACATTAGTCTTTTAATGCAATGCTTTCAAGTTAGGGGTCATTACTTTCATGTCTGGACAACAACCACTATTTTGCCTATGCATTAAGCAGTTTGATGAATTGGGCTCTTACTAGGATTCTAATGGTAAATCATGGGTGTCTGGGAATATCCTTGGAAGGTCTTAAATTCTCTGAACTTTTCATACAATGTCCTTAAACGTAAAAAATTCTGCAATTCACAATTTGTTGATTATGCATACAAAGGAAATGACAGGACAATAAAACATTCAAAAAGGATACATGAAATTCATGATGATATCCCATAATTTGGTGACTGAATTTGCACGGGGAAAAAGATTGTTATAACTGTGTGTCACATTTCATATGACCAGTTTCAAAACCAAATTTCCTTGTACATGTAGTATTGCTTCACTTGACAGGTGTCTGGTACAAGTCCATTCTCTGTTATATTGTCCTTTCGAAACCTTCCATATTAATACAAACAGAACAATAATCTTGTCTTTCCGTTAAACGTGACCAGAAACATGCACATGTGCATGTCCATGTATGTAAACACACTCCATTCTTGTACAACCTTGGCCTTGTTTTGTGCTGGTTTCTACACCTTTGCGTATCATTGCATCTAAACAATTTGGCGCCCTCGTCAGACTATGTGCATGCATGGATAAAGCAGTTATTTTTGTTCTTTACACTTACATTGTACATCTTTTCTCAACATATTCCTCTACTTTGTACAGAGGTTAACTTGATGTGTCTCTAATTCTTCTCTCCTTTTGCTGGCTTTCAAAATATTTCAAAAAAATTAACCACTTGTCTCAGACAATTATTGGTTTCTTTCGAAGTTCCAGTTCAACCTATTGATATTGCAAATATTCAAGCAGTGCCTGCCCCCTTTCATCCCACTGATTCCATATGATCCTAACAGATAGTGAAGTCCTTTTATTCTGTAGAAATCTGTGATTGAAAGAAGGTATTTACTCTGGGGGTTTGTTTATCCATATTCAGAGGGCATGAGGGAAATAATTGACCCAAGAATATGGTGTAACCTTGAAGGATTGTATTCCTAATCTTGCTGTATCTTTAAGTTGGATGCACTTGGTACCTGAACAAAAAAGGGAATGCATGCATACATACATGTACTTTTTAATGTCACATGTACATTCCATAGTCAAATATCCTTCAGACCAGTAGAGTTTGAAATTATGAACCAGTCCACCTGCTGGTACCTGTCTCTGTCCTCAGCATGTAATGCATCAGCTTGTAAACTCATTTTCTACACCAGGTTGAATCCTTTATTTCCTCATGAAATAGAAATATACCTTTGACTTTTAGTTCATAGAAGTACCCATTCAGATCAGTTCCTAAAATTTCTGTTGAGTAAAATTGTGCATGGAGGCCTAAAGTGTGATTAATATAAATGTATTGACAATCCTGTCTTGCGCAAGTACTGAGTTAAGTCGGGAGGTCATTAATCAATGAAATCCAACATTTCTATGTCAAAATCGTACACCCTCCCTATTCAGTATGATAAAGCATTGTCTGGTCTTGACCAGAGTCTACGTGCCTGTTCTCATTTCTCCAACAAACTTTTGTTCAGATTAAATCTGCATAAATAAGTCATGAACAAAGCTGTATTGTCAGCCACCAGGAGACAATTGCTTGATCGTTGGACTTGTCGAGAATTGTGATATTAATTGAAACGGATGCTGCATATTCAAGGCTTGGTGACCTCCACTTGACCTCACTTTTTATCTCAGTTTGGGATTGGTAGCTTTTTTATTCTTCCTCAGCAGAAAAGCTTACAGAACTACATGTACATTCTGAGTGTAGGGATGTTGGTTACTCCACTCTTTAACTGCTTGTTTCTACCCAGATGTTGCTAAGTTTATACATTTACTTGTTGCTAAAAATCTGATAAACATACCTTTCGTATTACTGAGTTTTGACGTAAAATGTGTATTTTAGAGATGAAAAAAACACTTCTGGGGCATTTCTTATTTTGTACACTTGTTTATGTGGTTCATGAAGTTACCGTTGAATTGTGTACATGCGTATTACAACTGGACAGGTGCTATTGATGAAATTTAATAACCAAACAATTTATTTTGGTAAGCACGTTGCCTGCCCTGAGAAGATGTACCAGCAACAGCTGTTTATCGAACATGTTCAAACTCATTGTGCAAGTCTACCAGCTTGCATTTTTGGTGACCTCTGTGGTTTAAAAGTACCAGTAGATATGCATGTAAAGACTGGTTTTACGTCAGGATTGTTCTACAGATTTGAAGTCCATTTTATTTTCAGTGTCCCTGTCACATCTGACATATAATTTCGTAAGTTTAGAACAAATTCTTTAATTGTCAAGTAATACAAATTAATTTTTAATCACATGGAAAGAGTTTGAAGTTAGTAGTTGTGATATTTTTGTGTCAAATTACACAGCTTAGGTGTAACAGGGACCAAAAAATGTCACACTATATTCTGATATTAGACCCCGAATTTACAGAATGACTCATAGCAATCCTGTTGCAGGTCTCGTTAACACAATCATTTTTACTGAAGCCAAGAATCAATTTGTCTGTCACAAAACTCAGACTGAGTCTCTGGCATTTTGATGTTGACGTTTAATCTTAAGCTTGACCAAACTGAAAAGCACTGCACTCAGGTTTACTCCACAGCACAAGTGTGAAATTTGATGTCAATAATGAAAAATGGAATTGGACATTGCAAAGAGGTCTAACAAATTCCAACTTGTCTTTGTCTTCATTTCAGGCGGATATGCGGCTCATCAAAGAAATGAAAGAAAAAAACTTGGCTGAAATGAAAGATCCAGACCGTATGTGGTCATTGAGAATGAAATTCCTTGAGAGGGCTAAACATTACTTTGGGGTGCCATATGCTAAGCGATATCATGGTCCAGAAAGTAAGTATGATTTAAAAGCTTCTAATTCCATGGGATCCATGTTTGGATATCAACTTATGCAAGATCATTCCTCCATGATAAGACATATGAAAAGTTCTATGAATTTGGCAATGGAATTTAATGCATTGGGTTCGAATCCTCAGATGTGTTCCTCATAGGAGCAAATAGCTTAAGCTCATTACTACTCTCCCATCCCATTCAACACCACCTAACCTTTTGCCCAACTCTGCCTTTTCTTCCAGGTCCAGACCACAATGCACCTCTGTTCCTGGACTGCTGTGGACTAGTCCGCCGTGTCTTGCTTGACCTCAAGGAAGACTTTGGCTTCAAGATAGGACGATGGAACCAGGCCTACCAATATGACACGCTGCCAATTACTATTCTGAAGGAGGAAGATATGAAACCGGGAGACCTTGTTTTTATTTCAGCCATCTACCACAACCTGAAGAGTATGTGGACATACAAGAATGAACATGTTCAGTAAATCAAGCTCTGAAGCAATTATGCAGTTACTGTCTTGACTATTTCTGCTCCCATTAGCATGTTCAGGTTTTTCAAGGCTAATTTTTAAAATTTTGAAGTGATTTTCCAAGTCTGATGTAAAAAAGTAAGATGTGAATTTAAAACTTGGAGAATGACCGGGAAGATTTTGAAATGAGAAGCATGAGTTGCATCACAAGTAAATCTTAAAATTTGATGATAATTTAATCAGTGGTATGTAAAAATCGTGTTAACATCATGTGTTGCCTTCCACTGTCTCATTGATTTAACATTTCCATTTCCACTTTATGGTTCCTAAATACAATATCCTGTGTATTTTTATTCACTTTATAATACAAAACAGGTAAGAAGCAAAAGCACAACATGGTACACGTTGAGATCTGGGCAGGCGAGGACGCTAAGACAATAGGGGCTCGATGGCAGCGGGGTCATGTTCAAGTCTTTGATTCCTACAAGTTTGAAGCCAAGAGTTACCATAGTATGGTGTATCACTTCAAGTCGATTGATACATGGCTGCAAGGAATATGTAGAAGGTATGTTAGTTACTGATCTGCTCCCAGGAATGGGTAACATAATAATTTAACGTAAAAATAAACATTAAGTCCTTGTTTTACAAAGATATACATGATTAAAAGAGGGCGTGTTGCATGTCATAGACAAAGTTCTGTGAGGCCGGAACACAGCTCATGCAGTATACATAACTTGTCTTCATTCGAAAACAGCAAACCTGTCAGGTTTGTTGCATCTTTTTATAATCACCCATCCTGACTCATCTTCAGTGAGGGATTATTTCTTTCTAATCTTAGCTGAGATTTGAGATAATTTTGCAAATATTATGTGATCTGCAGTTACTGTCCCGAGCATCCATGGGTGGTTACATCCTACCAACCAGGATGTAAGTCCATCTTTGTCATTCAGAATGAATCTGAGGAAGGCCAGGCTGCTCAAGATAGTGGAGAAGAAAGCTGCGAGGAAGATGAAGACCAGACAGAAAAGACCAACATGCTGGAGTATGGAAAAGAGGACAGGTCGTATGTTTGTGCTGCCTCTGACACCGGATGTGAAGATGTCAAAGTGGAGGACAATTCTGAGACCAAAGATATTCAGAGACAACCAAAGATTACAGGGCAGTCAGAAGAACTTGAGAACCTCAGTGGTGGAAATGACCAATCCATAGCAGATGAATTGACAGAAGAAGTAGTAACTTACCAGGTGGACATTAATTATAAAATGGAGGCTGAGGAAGATCTATCACAAATTAAATTGCCTTGCCTCCAATGTGAATTTTTGGCACTGGAGGCCATGAATAGTTGCAAAGATAGTGACTGTTGCCATGACAACACTTCAGAGCCTCAGGATGGTGACGATGGGAAAAAGACAAGCTCATCAAGTGAATCGACTGAAAAAGGTTTACAGTTTGAACAATTGGAAGACTCAAAGTTTATCAGTAATCATGTTAAATTTGACCATGTCTAAAAAAGATATTAAGGGTTGCTTAATTGTAATTTTTTGGGATCTTGCCGTTGCTAGATTCTGGTGGATATTAAATGAAAATGTTTGGCAGACATAGATTTGTGGGCCATGGCACTCAATCAGCTTGGATCATCAAACCAACAGTCATGTTGTTCAATTTTGAACTAATCAACAAACCTGGTGGAGTTGAATTTTTTAACACCTGATGCTATTTTTCTTTTTGTAAGACGAGACACATAAGAATGCCAAGTCCTCAACGGACACGCCGTCCTCACAGAAGAGCAACAGAAGAAAAGAAAGAAATGCTGATGAACTACCAGACCAAGGAGCAAAGTATGTAACATCACCAAGAAGTGGAGTAGGTAGAGAGACAGGACCAGCTTTCTACATTGGAGGAGCTAATGGTGTAGCACTGTAAGTATTCCACCTGTTATCCTGTGATTCTGTGCATATCTAGACCGCCTCTGAATGACTTTTCAAAAGCAAGCAATAGCGTATAAAGGCTGGTATTTGAATGCCTAGCTTCCCAGAAAGTGGATAAGATGACTCCAAAAATAACTCTAAGCTCACCAGTTCAGGTTAATAATGTCATATGATGTGTTGGATTATGTGGAACATCAGCCAATAGTAAAGGGAATTATAAGCAACTTGTGATAAGTAAAAGTGTATCTCCAAGAGTTTGCAACGCGTTTGCCAATCACAAGGCAAAAAATCTGACAACCCTTTCCAAACGTGCATTGGGTCGACAGATTTTGCGCACTATGCACAGTCAACATGTTGCAAACTCTTGGAGGCACACTATTGTGAAACGCAAAATTGTAAGTCACATTTTTCCTAGAATCCTTTTAGTTTAGGAGACATTCATCACTGCAGCAGTTTTTATGTTCCGTTTTATTATGCAGTACATGCTTTGTAAAAGCTGTTTTCTATTTAAATTATGTGTCTTCCTTCCTTGTTTGGTTAATGCCAGTTCATTATGATGTAATATTTAATTTTTCTGAATTTACATCAACTAAAAAAATACAGAGTGGAAGGCCCCCTTTTAGCCAAAGGCTGGCGACGAATACATGACAGAACAAATGAAAACTACAAACTGAAATGGGTTGAATTGAAATCGCACATCAACTACCATTCATTCAAAGCAGGTGAGTAATTAGTAAAAACAATGTCCAAACATGTGGAAGGTTCTTGCAAACAAAGCTCTGGTCAGTCAGTTGGTGGTAACTTGGAGATTTATTACAGTGTGTCTGCTTTTCAACTCTTCCGTCACCATATTGCATCATTTAACAAGTTGCATAGTATTGACGTTTTTAACCTTAAACTGGAATTTTTTAATTGTGATGTACTCAACCTCAGGAGAGCAGCTGGTCAACCGCATCCCAAACACTGGTTACCTAGCAACCAAGGTGGGTCTCCTTGAGACTCTGCGGGAGTATGAGCGAGTCAACCAGAGGATGCAGCGGGGAAAGAGCAGTCGACTACTCAAGATGGGAGATTTCTATCCTGAGTCATATAACCTTGACAACAAGGCAGACAGAGACTCATTCTTCCATAGACATCAAGGTCAGTGCTGTTTTCTCGGTAGTGAAATGTTTGGCAGGCTACCAGCCAAAATTTCATTTGATGTGTGTTGGTTTTAACTGGTTTTCAGTTTGGTCATTTAAAACTAAACTGGATCAAAATTATTTTCAGTTAAATTTCATCAGTGCGAGACAATACCCAAACTTGAACAAGATGTGTTGCTACAAATGCTGAAATTTCTGGAATGTAGAAACAAATTAGGCATTTTCATTTTCTTTACTTTTGTTCTTAAGATGGAGATACTTGGATTAGTAAACCAAACAGCATGAATCAAGGCAAGGGCATCTACCTGGTGAAAGATATCAGCAACATCCAACACAAATACCAGCTGATGGAAGAAAGTGGCACCACAATAGCACCACGTAGGGGGAACCAGTCAAGATTAATACAGAGGTAGGGATCAGCAGTCAACTGAGAGAAAGAAAGAGGTATAGGGGAAGAGTACATGATTGACAATCAGCCCATGTGCTAGCTAATGGAAGAAAACATGACAACTGTGACACCATGTGAAGTAAGCTAATCAAGAATTAGACAAATGTTAAAAGTCAATAAGAAGATATATTGTATTTTAGCATGTCTTAACCCCCCCCCCGGAAAAAGAAAAATGCCTACATCATTGATAGAGTGTAATTTCTATTTCTTTCAGATACATACCAAACCCTCTCCTTTTGGACGGCAAGAAGTTTGATGTACGTGCCTACATGTTGATAGCTTGTACGACTCCATACATCGTGTTCTATCACTCTGGTTACCTCCGCCTGTCATGTGACTCGTATGATCCAACCAGTGATGATTTGGCACTCCATCTAACCAATCAGGTACAAGCTCAATGGCCTTTAGTAACATTATCAATTATCAATCCAAATCATCAGTCTCATCCTCATTGAAACAACTTGAAAACAATGAAGTGATACTGAGTGAAACATTGACTGTTAGGGAGATCCTGTTTTAAATTTCACATCTACCTGGTTGCTTCTGCCTAGCTCCGCCATCTGACCGGTTTCATAGCCTCAATTATCCTTTTCTGGCAATGACAGTTTGTACAGAAGAAGAAGCCAGGCTACCAAGATGTGAAGGAAGATACGGTGTGGAGCATGGAAAGATTCAATGATTATATCAACACACTGGCCAAGGAGAAAGGACTACCCAAAGACTGGGTGCTGAATCAGTTCACGGTAGACCAGCCATATTTCTTACGAAGGGGTCACCTTCAAGTCTATATCATGTTCACCACTATTTCAACTCTTCCCCAACCTCATTTCTGGTCAGAAGTTAACACAGAAATGGGTCCTCTAATCCGGACCATTTTGCCCCTCAAAGTGTAAATAGAGCTCCGTTTCTCCTGCTTTCATCAAACTTCCAGGACTGAAATTTCCTTCAACCCTTGTGGCTGTGCATCAGCTTTTGATAATGCAACACCTAAAAGAAATATTTCCTTAATTCAAAAATTTATTGTTCTGGTTGGAGCTCAGTATTTCCATCAAAGTCTATTGGGCTTGATACAATTTTATTTTTGCTTTCCAAAGTATAAGCTAAAACCTTGTATTAGGAAAAAGATAAATATTTGCCATTGTAATGTTGTTGCCAGAAACGGATGATGCAGATTATGACCCACTGTTTCAATGCCGTCAAGAATAAACTGCAATGCAAGCTGGGATACTTTGACCTTCTTGGCTTTGATTTCCTATTGGATGAGAGCATGAAGGTAAGTCAAACTCAGCAAGAATAAATTGAACTCTGTCCAGTATAGTTTTTCTGTTTCTAGTGATGAAGATTCATGTAATCTTTGAATTATAATAATGCTCTAGTCAGCAAGTTTTGAAAAGACATCAATACCTCCCCTCTAAGAGAGTGCTGCTCCTCTCCCCTCTGAAATTTTCACCCATTAATAGTGAAAAGTGACTTTGAGCTCTGTGTTTTTATTTCTCTCTAGGTGTATCTGTTGGAAGTGAACGTGAACCCTGCACTGCATACAAACTGTGAAACATTGAGAAACCGGTTACCACCGATTGTACACGAGACATTGGGTGAAGAACTCTTTCTGAAATCCCTACCATAATTCTCAACAAAGTGTTTCATTGAACTAACTATCTCTTCATGATATTCTGTTGTTTCAAACATTCTCTTCAGTGGTCTGGTGGTGAGATACTGTGCAGTTGGTCAGCTACTTCAAAAACAAACATTAAAAAATACAGACGCAGGAAATGAGAGAACTAGACAGAAAATGTGCAGGGCTCTTGAGTCCAAGAAGATTCAGTAAATAAATATAACAAGGCTTAATGGGATCTGTTGTAATCATCAAAAACTTGAGCTCTTTTCAAAATGGAAGTACTTATTATCAACAAAGATTACTCCCAAAGAGACCGCAGTGTAATCTCATGAATTTAATAAAATTGTTGAATCAATATCCAGCTAACAAAAAATTTGACCAACAGTTAATTTGCACCTGTAAGTTACTGCAGTGTCCTCATTACTTCATTCCAGACATAGTTTTGGAGATCTTTGACAAATGTCGTCACAGCCGTCCCATCATGCCCCTGATTTCTCAGCGGAGAATGACTTTGCTGTACAATGATGCCGTCTCGGGTTCTGTCCACCGTCACATGACCCAGTCCACATCCCCCCCGCGTCAGGCTGGAAGCCCTACACATACTACCAGGTCACGATCAACATCACCAGCAAAAAGACAAAGAGGAATAGTGATGTCCTTGAGGAAAAATGTCACAAAAATGACAGTCAAGGACAATGACATGGCACCTAGTGGTGGCACAGGTTAAATGAATGTATGTTAACCACTTGCTGCCGGGGGCAGTTATCAATGTTGATGATGCTGGATAATTATAATTTTTTCCTGTTTTCAATATTCTTTAAAGATTCCTATCTTCATTTACTGGACACTTACAAACACGTTAAAGACTGTCTGGTGGCCACTCTAGCATGACAGACAACATCTATTGATGCTGGAGTATTTCAACCAGGCCTGCCGCCTTGTAAAAAGAGCCCAGATTTTGTGGTGTTACGTAATATTCTTTTGTTCATGAACCTGGCTCAGTGCGCTGCTGACTTCTTTTCAATAGGGGCCAGATTAGCATGCAGCAGTGCTGTGTGGCTTATTGCTGTGGTGGTGGAGAGCATTTGTCCCCGGTGGTAATCCGCTCGCTCTAAATGCCCCAAACCGTGGTACACTGTTTCAAAACAAGGCTGGATTATCTCCACTGTTGAGAGTGAAAAAATGTCCATAATGCCCAGCAGCCTGGTCTTTTGCTCCGAGTACAGTCTTTTGTTACAAGGCCCTGTTCCCTTTGTCTGAATTCGGAGACCCCAGCCACGCATATAAAGCATACGTGTCCGGAGCCAGAATCCCCAGCAGGAAGTGGTTAATGACAAATGGTGGCAGTGACATGATATTGATGTTGAATCGTAACATGTATATTATTGACTGTAGTATGTTGTGAATTTGCTTCAACACTTGCAGTGAAATGATCTGCTGTTTATAGTTGGTTTTTAGCTGTAAATACTTATAATGTTTGTGGCGTGAACATGAGTATTGAACTCAATGCACCTTTTGCATTTGTGTCTTGTGGAAATGTGTGTGTTTTAAGGTTTTGTATTACCAAAAGAAAATATCCAAAATGTAACCTGAGAGTGTGCCTCAGAGATGTAGTATGGTTACACTCATAAATCAACTTTGATTTACAAATTGCTTGATAAATCTGATACTGACAACATTCATTCAGTCCAGATTATGGGATGAATTGAATCCTGTGTGTACCCATGTGACGTCCAGATCATGCCTCTGTGATGTCAAAGTGTGTGTGTGTGTGTGTGTGTGACATTGAAGCCAAATGTATGCTACATGCGTGTGCTACATTAAAAATCTGTGACTTTGGGATGTTGAAAAACTGCCCAAATGGCATTGGAAACCATAACCATGTGATGTTGAAAAACTGCCCGTGCAACATTGACAACTGTGGTTGTGCAACGTCAAAAACTACGACGTTCAAACAGCCGCTTGCGCAACATCAAAAACATACTTGGTAGTGGCACCCAGACAAACTTGTAGACATTTGCCTACTACACGATTCCCCATTCTCACTCCATCTGGGAAATAAATGAGAGTTTGGACCCTATGAAATTCTAGCATTAGTTATAGATGTCTAGAAGTGTGCTGGTTGAGATGCTGTGGAGGTTGGAAGAATTCATAGAAAAGGGGTTTGTATCTAGTATGCATCATCAGCAGTTGCTGTCTGTACCTGGCTCATAAAGTGGTCCTTCCAAATAAAATTTTAACCACGTCTAATTTTTATGAATGTAAACAATGGATGTGATATCACAGAAGGTTAATCATTTAGGCTTTTTAGAAAGCCAGAGTTGTTTGGATAATTTACAAATTTGATGAAATTCAAATTTACTCTTAAAATACGATATCTAGTTGCCACCTTTAGATGCCTTCAGCCCAAATTAAATCTGGAGAGTCCCTCTGCTTTGAGAAATTGACTTCTCTCATAGGGTACCACACACAAAGAGAATCCACGCAACAAACAGGCATAAAACATGGCAGAGTGAACTCTCTTTAATAAAATAAACTGAAAGCTTCTCATTGTAATAAAGACCTTCCTTGGTAAGTCTCTTCCCTTCACATCAGCAATACATAAGAAGGTTGTTCTGAGTAAGTTTGACAGCAGCGGTATTATACTTCATTTATGATTTGACCACATTTCGCCAAAGAGCATGGAAAGCAAAATACAGGGTTTTAATTCAAGACAAGTCTGATACAGTAAGTACAAACATTTCTTTTGTCCAACTTAATTTAAAATGTTTGTATGATGTGTAGGTTTGGCGAAACTGGATATATAAAAATGACAAAACCTGCTTGGTGCAAGATATCCAAGTCTCAGTTTATAGACAATCTGTGTATTTGTCAGTTTTGCTATTTTTATCACATTTGAACAAAAATGCAACAGCACTGCTTCCCAGATATCCTATTACATCTTCTTGATGTTGAGTATTTATGAATCATCTATACACAACACATTTTTTTGTTGATACTTTATGGTATTTCCATAACAGATGGGTCCATGAAAAGCAGATTCTTGTATTAACGTCTGATTGCCCGGGCAACAATTTACCAAGTGAACTGGTGCGCAGTCCAAAGTCTAGCACCCAGACTACAACTGTAATCCTATGAATAATTACGCACAACCCTGCCAATTCTACAATTTCCATTCTATTCACTGCAACCATTTTTTAGCACTCTTCCTCCAATAATTCAACATAACTTCAATAGATGTACAGAAAATATGAACATGCTATCCTTAGTTGTCTCCAACTGGCTTTGAAAAAATACTACAATATACAGTTCTATTTTGCATGTATTAACACAATATACACAAGAAAACAAAAAAATGTTTGAAACTGCATCACAGTGTAGAACAAGCTCTTTTTACTTCCAGGTGACAGAAAGTAAACCAATGTTTGGAATAAATGGTTATGCTTTATCAAAGGTCTGCGGAATACACAGAGAATTACTTAAACATTTTCTTAACTTAGTGCTCAATTTGTTTTGATTTAAACTGAAGTTTTGTTGAAAATGCTCAAGAAACTTTTTTTTAAGATTTCATACAATTGAGGGATTCACCAATTGGAAAGTTCAAAGGAAACACGTGTAAGCAGTTTCCACATTCACTTGGCTGTTAAAAACACAAAGTTCAAATACAAAATTAAAGTCAATGTTGAATTGATAACCTTTATGCAAAATTGTTGATAATGAATGCTTTGTACAGCTCTGAAATATTCCAAATATGGTACTTGCAAAACTATTTAACCCTCTGAATATACTTCTGTTCAAATTTTCTCAGAAACTCAAAATCACAAAAGAAAACAAAAATTCTATTTCAGAGCCTGTTACTATCTGATATATTAATCTATGTTTATAATAATCCACTTTATATATGCACAGAATCTTAAGTACATCATTATTAAAATATAAACAAATTTGCATAACTTGACCTAATTACCGGTACCAAGAATGAATCAAAAACTTAAAAAAGAAAAATGCCTTGACTTTTAAACCTGCAGCCATATTAGTGTCAAATACCCCATAACACTACATGAAATACAAGGTACCGTATGGGAACTTCAGGAGGTCATGGATGGTGGCATAAGACGGTTTCCTTTGAAGAAAGACAGCAAAAAAAGTGGGCCATGATGAGAAGATTATGTAAAATTTGAAGCATTCATGTTGCTGAGAAAGCACCAATGGTCAAATCCAACTTGATCAAATTTGCATTTATAACGATGTCAAAATAAAGTGTCGTCACAGCTCTTTTCTTTCATTGGATAATATTTGGCCTTAGCTACATGTGTCTAATCTTGCTACTGAAAAAATTCTGCTTTGATTGCATGCATTCTACACGTTGATACTGACATTCTCCTGTAACTCCATGGGCTTGGTCATTCAATCCCTTCCCTTTTTTCAGTACATGTAACTGCCTCCAATAATTAACAATTGGTATCTACCAAATGTCTGACCCATTACTTGTACAAAGATCAATTTTTAATTGTTTATGTACAGTGCAATTATTCTTTTTACGTATCTAGGTACAAAAATATCACTGCCAATTTTCTGCTGTATTTTCTACATGTTATTAAACTGCGTAAAGTATTGTTCACACACATCCCTATGGAAGTCATAGAGATACATTCATTTCTATACATCTATTAATAACTCCCACAAAATTGCTGTCCCGTCTTCAGTTCAAATGTAAATTAACAGGAAAAATATCTCTACAAAAGCAACACTGAGTTTCATGAAATACTGTTGCATTTCACTACTTTGCTGGCAAATAAAATCACTCGAATTTTCAGGAACATTTAATTAATCTCCATTTGCACAAGTTCTGAACAGATGTTTTCAATTTTATATCTTCAATGACCAGTAGTGTATTTTTTGTCTTCCACTTCTTGAATAATACCCCATGAGGACATTCCTACCGGTTGCTGCCTATTTAATAAACTTTCAATGTTTACATTGTCAATGGTCAAAGGCTTAACCTTATACATATTCCAGCAAAGAGAACCCGGCAAAAAACTATTTCTGTTCTGGTTTGAGCATAAACTATGGGGAATTATCAGATGACATAACTAAAATTCCAAATGACATACATACACATACAATGGTACATAATATATTTACTAGACGAATGTTTCTAGAAATTTGTTAAACTCTCTGCTCAGTGTGTCAGTCAAACACATTTTGCCTCAATCTATAGCTGGTTTTCATTTCACTGACCACAGCAATTAGCAACCAATCAGCTCTCTGGTATAAGAACCAACACAAGCAGACAAAACTGGGATTTGGGATTTCAGTGGGCCAATAACAAACTACGCTGATATAGCAACACATTAAACTCCGAGTTAGGTTTGCCCCGATTGACTATAGATTAGCCAATCAAATCCAAGCATCTGAAACCTAACAAGGACAAGTCTGTGTCCTTCCTTTACAGTTCAACCCTAACCCTCCCACATCTTTCAAAATCTGTCAAAAAGTGGGAAGAATGTAGTCTTGCTGTCCTGGAAAGCATGGCTTGTAGAGGATTCAGGCAGTTGATTGCTTGATTGTCAAGCTATACACTTTTTTCAGACTGTCAGACGTACTTTGATGGAGTGACTTGGTTGGCCAATTCATCAGCGTTACTCTATAATACTTTTTTCAACAATTACTGATCACAAGCTGTGGACGTAATTTATTTCACCACCTTTCATCCATAGGTCCATTCATTTACATTTTCACATATTGTGATTTTATTTCATACAAAATGTAATTAAAAATAAAATTTGCTACAAAAAATACTGTTCTTTTTGACACAAACGAAAGATCAAAACATTCAAACAAATGTACATTTCAACAATATTTGGTTAAATGCTCACAACTCTAGATATTTAAATCAAAGTTGAATTTCCACACTAAAAACTGGAAAGGTCACACTTTAAAAACAAATCCATGGGGTTTGGATGGCATGGATGAGTGGGGGGGTTGGCTGGGTTCAGAGGTGAGGAATAAGTAATGTAAGAATTCATGACAGCTTGTGAATATTGTGAAATAATGACAATCTGTGAATGGGGATAGAGTGGGAGGAGCTTCAAAAGAGGGTGAACCTGAATGTCCAAAATCTCAAAGTTTCTTCCAATCAACTGACTTTTTGTCAATTGTATAAATGTGGAGCACTGTCTTCCAAAAATAATCATAATTCTCACATGCACTCTGTGGTGTAACTAATTCTCTGAGACCGCAAGGTGTGTGTTGAAGGAAGATTTTTAAAAAATCAGATTGGTAATGACTTATCTTTTGCATAATTTCGCAAGCATGTGGTGGACACATGTGAAGGTTGCACACCGTATCACTGCCTGCACATGTTAAAAGTAAGATTTTAAATCATAATTTCCCTTTTTTGTACGTAGCCAAAGTTTTCAAAACAGAGGTACATGTTGTTAACATTTTGAGAAGCCGAAAACACTACTCCATCACATTTAGCATATCTATGAACAGAATAAGTCCAAAAAATGCAATGAAATTTGATTTTTGCTGATTATAACATGCAGGTTGACTGATTTAGACAAAATGTTATCACAGTCACAGAAAATATTTATATACGGGTGGGTTTCACACATGCATTTTTCCAAAAGTAAATATCAAAAATTTGCTGAGTAAAGGCTTGCCAAAAACTTTCACTTACAAAATCTGTCAGAAAAACAGATGAAGTCAGGAAAAAATGCCTTGTGAAGGTTGCGACCTGGTGAGAGACAGAGCTGTGATTCGGTGAGATGTAATGAGATGTAAGTGATACATCACATGCTGTTCACATCTCCTTGTCTTTGGGGACTACTTTCTGGGGACTGGCGGATGACTGAACTGCTTTTGATTCCCAGCTGGTGGTGACTGTGAACAGAAGAGTGATAAACTCTTGTTCAAACACACACGGAATGCATCAACACACAATTCCAGGATGCAAGAGGATATTTGTTAACAAGCACTAAGTCAGAGACACACCCCTTTGTGCATACATATGCATGAGTTTTTTCCATGCATGCACCATCTCTAGAGTCTTCAGGTGTACTTTAGATGATAATGGTATCAAGATGTGTCTGCCTGACCCTTCTTTGTTACAAATATGGGGTATGACTACACAATGAACAGTTTCAAATGTGAACTCTGAAGTATAGTTTGGTTGAGATTGTGTTTGTTGTCTCTTCAGCACCAACCTTTCTGAAGAGAGTTGCAAAACTGACCATAAGAGACCCCAAAACTCACAAAAATTTGAATGTTACTGGCAGCGTTGTATTCAAGTCCATCACAAGTCATTCCGTCTTAAGCCAATTCACAAGCAGTCTTTTGTCATTGTTTACCTTGTTACTTGTGGCTGGCCTTGTTAAGGGACTTGTGACTGGGCTTGTTAAGGGACTTGTGACTGGACTTGTGAAGGGACTTGTGGCTGGCCTTGTTAAGGGACTTGTGACTGGGCTTGTTAAGGGACTTGTGACTGGACTTGTGAAGGGACTTGTGGCTGGCCTTGTTAAGGGGACTTGTGGCTGGCCTTGTTAAGGGACTTGTGACTGGACTAATTAAGGGACTTGTGACTGGCCTTGTTAAGGGGCTTATGACTGGCCTTGCGAAGGGACTTATGACTGCACTTGTGATAGGACTTGTGATGGACTCAATACAACACCATGTTACTTAGAACCTTAGAACTCATGCAAACTAAAACCTCAAAACAATTGTTGGAAATGATGGCAATACTCACCCTCATTGGCCCAACATTCTCATAGAGCTTCTGCTCTTGCATGACCCTATCTTGTGGGGGTATTGGTGTGTGTGGTGGCACTGAATGTGCCCCGTGGGATGGGGTCTGTAGCTCATAGTGAGCTTTCTTAGTGTTGATGTACTCCCGTCCTGTCTTAAGTGTGTTCTTGAAGAAAGAAAAGAAGGAAATTGAATCAACATTAGACTTCCAACTCCATGCAACAGGAGATTTCTCATGGTTTTCTAGCAGCATGACAGACTTACATGTTCTGCTTGTACTCTTGTTGTCATGGTTTCAATATACTGCTGCACAGCTTGGTAGACAAACTTGTACTGAGCCTCAGTTTGGACAAGCCCTGACCTCTGACCCCTGACCAGCCGAATCGTGTTGAAGATGTCAATCTCACAGTCCAAGCCTGTCATGAATGTCAAAGACACTGAGATTCTACAACCATGTTTCATCTGATAAGAGTCTTATAGCGTCTTTATTTACATTGATTCTAGCCACACTTCTTCAACTATGTACTGTATCCCATGGTAAATTGGACCAAAGTTGATCATTCTGTCTCAAAGGAAGCGCCCACCGATGAATCTGACTTCAAGTTTAAGGATTTAATAAGCAGCAACTTTATCCCTGGTACCAGCCAAGCATATTTTTCTTCCCTTATAAATGCACTCAGTAATGTACATATCACTGAGCAAGGATATGCAAGAAAATAATATGGGGCTGTCCACAATGCATAACCTTTTCGTCAATACTCGACCCAAAACTCTTTGAGAAACTTCTCTGTGCGTCACAGAGACAACTATTGCCCCTGACTGTCTACTCTGACCCCAAGGAGTTACTTACCATGCTGATTGATAAGATTGAGGATAATGTCAATGACAATAAAGGTTCCTGTCCGTCCAATGCCAGCACTGCAAGGTGAAAAAAAAATCAGCAAAATGGACTTGACAAATCATTTTACACAAAATAAAAGATCAATGAATTTTCAAGTAAAAGATACATCAATAACATCTTCCAAAGACAGTGAAAATAACAGCACTGTTATCAACTGAATTTCACCTGAATCACATATTTCAGCAACTACCATGTCAAAGTGCAAGATATTGAACAGCTGAAAATCAAATGTAGATGGAGCAAGCTGCCAAGCATGCCTATGCATGTGAATCTGACCTGCAGTGAACAATGATGGGTCCGGCACCCGGAATCTCATCTTGTTTCATGTTGATATCATGAAGGAAGCTCAGCACCCGACTCGGCTCTGAGGGGACACCGTGATCAGGCCAACTCTTGAAATGAAAGTGGAAAACTGGTCTGGTCTCATCTAACTGAAGGGAAAAAATGAAGTTAGAAACAAAGTCAGAAAAATCTTTGAAGCTTGCACAATCTGTTTTGCTTTCTAAATACGATGGGAAAGAAAACATACTCAAAAGAAATATTCAGATATCAGTCAACAAAATTATCAAAAATAGTTCAGTTGTACGTAACAAACATTTCTTCTATTACTTACATCAAGTGGATTAGAATAAAATAGCACAAACTTATAAGCATGTTATTTCACAGAGTAATTTAAGTACATTTTTTTAAATTGAGTTAAAAGAGTTTTTTTGCAAACCAAAATTGAAGAAGTCCCCAAAAGTTTGTTTTTGAAACCAGTGGTCAAGACAAGATTTCAATGTCAGTAAATGAATTGACTTACATGGTCTTTGTGGGTCAATGCAAACTCTCTCAGATCATAATCTTCCTTCAGATGTTCGTTGATATACGTAATGATGAGTTTGCCTTTCTCTAACTTCCTGTCAGCATCTGGCCAATATCTCACACATTTATTCTGCAACATAACCAGCAACAAACACCAATCATTTCATTATCTCATGCCTTGACAACTGAACTCAGAAAATGACACGTGGGCAGCACTGGCATTATCTCTAATGTTAAAAACTCAAGATATTCCACTGTGAAAGTAACAGCACTGATATATTTATACTCGCCTTTCCCCTTTCAACCTCTTTGGTTGTCATGACGATGACCCTTGAGTTTTCTTGCCATACCATCCTCCAGAGGTCGATCACAGTGTCCTTGAGGCATCCCTGTGTTGCTATGTACCGTTTCTGTTTCTCCCAGCTTCCATCCATTTTCTCAACATTTTCTCCGGCTTGGAAGGCTTTCTGGTTCTGTTGGCATGCCAACGCCAACTGCATGACAGGTAAATTAAAATTTATAAACCATCAAAACTACATTTCATTGTTAGGACATTTTAAAGTTCAAACTTGAGTTTTGCTACAAGCAACGCTGTCATGATAGTATACAAATGATGAACAACCTCTAGTGTGTTTTGCTTCTTGTTGTATTTTGACTTGTTCAACAAATATTGAGCTATATTTTCAACCAGAGAAATGCAACATGAAATGAGTATGACTGTAGAAATGGCGCAGGGCTGCTGAGTAAGAAAGAAGAAGCTGGAATAATGGAGCCTTTAATTTGACATAATCACAACTGAAATACACCAATATAACCACGGCATCATCTTTGAACTCTAACTTATCTGAAAGTTGGCTGAAATTACTTCATTTACCACTGTGTAATAATTCCTTTTTAAAAATGTTTACTGGTTTAACACACTTACATGGGCAGGGTAAAAAAGCAGCAAGTAAAACAGATCCAATGAAGATTCAAGTTTTAATTATTTCTTAGGATTATGGTCTTATGATGGAACTAGTCAAAAGGGTGTGGCCTGATGATGGGTGTGGTAACATGAGGGTGTGGCTAGATGCCTGAATACTGTTTGTGAATGTAATGATTTTTTAATGTAACTTAAGGTTCTCAAGTTGACAATGCTTCAGCAAAAGTAATATTCGATTGACAAGTGCTAAAGTACTTGAATCTGCTAAGATGTAAACTGATGGCATTTTAAGGGAATCAATTTTTACCGCCAAAAATTCTTCCGCAAACTACACAACTTATGAGTTTTCATGTTGAGGTTATGTACAGGGTAAGCAAGTTTGGACCTCCCCTTTCTGTTGACCAACAGTTAGTGATATGGCTTGAAATGTTCAAAGAATGTACAGCTAGCAGAAGGTTATTGTTGAAGTGGCTTGTTTGAGCTTGATCTAACACCACCATGAGAGACACACTGTGCTGTGCTGATGAGGCAGTTAATGATGAGAACCACAGACAGGGGGAAGGATACCTACCCCACTGACATTCAAACGCTGGTCCTTTATCTAACAGGAAATACAAACATCAAGTTACCAGTGTAACCGAAATAGCTCACATAAGGCACGTCATCCATAAAGCAAAGTTTAGATGATGGAATTGAGCTCATGGGGCTGACTTTGTTGATTTTATGCCGGTAGGTTTTAGCTTGCCCTAGTACAGCTTTTGAAGCACCACACTGTTAGTTTGAAAGCTTCATCAGAAGAACATTTCATGTAGACTCAGACATAAACAACATAGTAACCTTACCGACAAGTCTCCTGTTAAAGCTTTACGTAGCTACAGAGCAAAAAATCAAACAAATTCAACATAACAATCAGCACGAGACACAGCAAACGACAAGGTAGTTTCCAACTCTGCCTTCTATCATACACACAATTTTCATGGATAGGCTTTTACTCATATGGTTGCCCCAAAACATCAAAATGTACTTAAACATGGATTATACCTGGTAAATTTTAACACTAACAATTCAAAATCTGGAAGAACGAATAGAATAAAGTTAGGTTGTTTTTTATTTCACACAATTCTGGCAAACTTGAACCAATTTATTGTGTAATTATATTTTTCTTGGAACAAGACATAACTATTTGGTCTATCTGTGTCAATGATATTTTGAATTTAACACAGGGAACCAGACCACTAGTAACCCAGACAACATACTTACATCAATGAAGTTAGCATTGATGTAGTCACCATTCTCTCCGTCATTCAGAACCACTCTGGAATGCTCAACTTCAAACAAAATGGAAACTAATTATTACATTTAGCATGTTTAGTGTGCAATCAAGCCTGTCATTCCATTTTTATTGCCGACATCTCAAAAGGATTCCTTTTGGTAAAGGAGGCTGAAGTGATGACAATGTACACCGTTACCTTAGAGTTCAAACCAGATGTTTTCAAGAACTACACGTACATTCAAAATCTCTTAATGAGCTGCGTTATTCTTAGAACTGAATACACACACCTTTGAAACCCAGCACTTGAAACCATTAACAGAATCATCATCATTTTCTCAAGATGAATTGAACAATTTTCCTCTGTTCAGGGGTAGTTCTAAACTACCATAATGACCAACAAACAGTTTATTTGTTTCAGTTAGTGTGGGTTTTTGGATAGTACTTACATGGTAGAATGTTCCTGTATCTGTTCTTGGCTTTATCTTCAGGTTCATCTCCACGTCGTTTCAGTAAGTGTTTGGCATCCAGTTGCTGTAATGCCTACTCAGGGACAAAACACAATTCCAGACCTTCAAGGTTGATACCTGTTCCACTTGTTTAAGTGAATCAAAGATATTTGATGGACCAAGTACACAGGAATTAAAGTTAGCACAGATTGTCCTAATACGTCAACAAATAAGAAGTATAACATCAGCAGATCGGTTACCACTGAAGGTGAGTCTTGCTGCATGGTTTTAAGGATTTTGTAGCCTGTTTCTCTTGCCTTGACCGATATTAGAGAATAGACATTTTCAGTAATTAAGGTAAGATGTGATTACAGATCATACTGCATGGTGACTGGAGTTTTGGTCTATAGATGAATTTTATAATAAAATTTATATTGCATACATAACAGTTGACATATCTACAACACTACAAATTTCCTTGCAAATGTTTAGTGAACTGCATTTCAATTAAATGAGACCAGTCCCATGAAACAAAATAAGGACATGTTCTTGTTGGACAGAGTAACCTCACCTCAAACTCCTCCTCGAAGCCAGCCTTCTTTGAGTTTTGCCTTGAGCTAGTCTCCTTCTCCAGTACCTCCACTCTACTCCGGATTCCTGAAGCTGCAATCCTTGTGGCATTGAAAGGCTGTTGAAACATAAACGAAGACTTAAAGGGAGACCAACCAAAATGAAGTATTTCTTGCTTCATGAGGGAGGAATCAAAGCCAATAACCACTATAGGATTACAGCTTTGGACTGATGCTTTACCATATACAACTATGCACAAATATATACATGTGCACGCACATACACGTGTACTTGGATACTATCTCAATCTCCAGTACAGAATTCTGTAGTCAGAAGTTCCAGTCAAATCTTATCACCTCAGCTGCAATTATACATGTACACTAAATAGGAACTCTTGTTACCATCAAAGACTAACACTTTCTTTTTGTGTTACAAGCAAAAAGTACATATACATGTACAATACGTAGAGGTTGTATACATGTATGTGTTTCACTTTCGAGGAAGGGTTGACCAACTACAATTTTGTCCGGCTGAATTTTCAGCAGACCTGTTTGAGATGAACCACGTAACCAGATGTTTCCACCATGGGATTCTTCTTATAATGCTCCACCAGATCAGCCAATGTTGAAAACTGCTCCCCTCCTCCTACATCATACTTGCCATCCTGTAACCATGGTAACAAGAATGACACAGAGGTGGAATTATCACATTTATGCAGCTTTTGAGATCAAATATGCAGCATCTATAAGGTAATTACCTGCAGAGAATAAGTACTAACTCCACAGATAGAATGCATACCCACACAGTAGCCCTACATACCAGCAACAACATGCCATGCATACGAGTTCAAAGGGTACAAAGATATTTTCACATAAATTTTCAACTGTAAATAACAAGTTCAATGCCTATCACTCTAAAACATTCCCGTCTCTGACACTTATGGCTGCTCATTTTAACACTGTTCTTGTTGAAAGACGATTCAAAATGGAAAGAAGCTCATAATACAGAATATTAAATCAATCTCTGTTTTGCCGTGATGTACAATGTAAGTTGACTCATTTATCTCTTATGCATCTCTTCCATAAAACTGATCCTTTATACAATTTGAAACACCCAAGAAAACCTTACTGGTTGACTAACTGAATTTGTGACATTCGTACAACTCCAACGTCAAATCACATCATAATGGCATCACTCATAAGTTGAAGAGTTGCAGATGAAGCAAGGATGCCCTACTCTCTGGGGCAAATGATCGCTTGGAGGTCTAAATGCCAAAGGGCAAATTGAACAGGTAAAATAACTACTATCATAGAGCTGCTGTGCACGGCCACGGGACACAGGACAGGTGTGTGGAATAACTGAATATCTGCTATTAAAGAGACAATGTACGTACTAACATACAATTACTCTACATCTGCTGTCACAGAAAAACTACCCAGGCTGTTATAGGAATACCACAAAATGATGTCACAAAATTCACTGAAAGTATTATATACAACAACTTTACTGGCAACTCATGGTTTCAGTAGATATAAGAGTACATAACAAAAATCACTTGCAGAATACAATAAATGAACCGTTTTTTGGCAAATCACAATCAATAGCTTCACAGATGACATACAACCACGGATGTGATTTTATGATAGATATCAATATAAGTTCCTGGTTCCTTCATTGTGTGACCTTTGACCTCAGAAAACCTGGACTAACACAAACCTTAGCAATGCACTAGGCACATTATATTGAAAAACACAAGCATTATAAACATGGATAGTTACTCAACATCACTTTCACATGTTGAGCCAGATTAGGTCTGCCTTGGACATGTTGGAGAGGAAAGAAAAATGGACGGCAAACCCCTGAAGTTATATGAAGTAGCCAGGGTCATTGTGTCTAAGCCTGAAACTGATACCCTGCCATACAAACTCTGTCCGGGAAAAAAAACATTGGTTACATTGTCAAAATCTGGTAATGCTCAGAAACCTGATTCATGCATGTACATGCATCCAGTGTGTCCATGTAATACTAATAAGAATAACAATGGAAAAGTACTTAAAAGGCGACTAGTATCCAACAGCATCTGTTAATGCAAGGCATCAACCACTGTGCTATCACTGTCTCTGCCCATTGGGTTCACAACACAATGCAGTAGACTGTCATAACTCCATGGGGAGTACATTATGGCTTAACATACATGTAATAACCATATCAATGTACATGTACAGTGTGTACATGTAACCTCTACTTATAAAGCCCTCATGAATTTGTCTTACTCACTTCCTAATACATGAAGTACATGTAGTTCATTTATTGATTCATGTCACATGGCAATACAAACAAACTCCACATATGTACATGTACAGTGTACATGTATACAGATCAAACAGACCGTGGCGAATTCAACATGTAAGGACCTGTTTGACAATTCAACAGCAAGGCTTTTATCACTTGCTTCCTGCCTACAATATGTTCTGTACAAGTTATCTTAGAATCCCAATCTACTTCCTGGTATTACAGCATAGTACACACCCATCCATGTAACTTGCATAACTAATTACATGTATAGTTTGTATGTTGTAATAAATTGCTCCAGGCTAATTTGTTCAAGGCAGTGTACTATGACAGGTCATAAATCCACCTGTTCACACAAGTGATGTTGTTAGACAATACTCATCAATTAATTTTATGTTAATGCACTCAATGGCACTGACAGCCTTACATTAAGTGAGTGGTCAAGATGGTAATTTTGCAGGAACAAAGGTTCATGTGAAATAAACACTTTGTGACAGAAACTGGCAAGACTTTATTCTTATCCTCAGTAAAAAAAAAATCAATTTACAGAGATTCCTACTCTTGGTGATTTTTTTCTGCTGATTAATTAATTTTCTGTGAACAGCATCTTAATATGTAGGACACAATGAGCAAGGCCTTTTTTTTCTCCTCCCAACATTTTGGAATGTTGGGGACACAAAACCTGCGGGTACACATGACAAAGCATGACTTGTAACAAATTCACAGTCAAAATATACCACTGCAAATACATGTAGCTAATGCACTTCAACACTTCCTTATATTCCAAGACATTTACAGATCTGTTATACTACTACATACATGTACCTGACATCTGATCATGACGTGGGTGACCTTATCCTCCGTTCGGACTGACAAAACGTAATCTCCCGGTTTACTGTGACTTTCTCGTACCAAGTAACTACCATTCTTGGCTTTTTCCATCAAGGCTTTCTCTGCTTCCTTGCCCGTTATATGGCCATGGAACCATCTACAGAAATAAGAACATTCATTCACATCAGATGATTGATTCTGTAGAAAGCACTAGTGCATCATTTTAAACCATTTCCCAGTATTCTTGCAGAGGAAGAAGGGATCACACTCCCTGATGTCTACGGTATGTTTTTGAGCCAGGTTCTTTATCACAACCATTCCTTCCACCAAAAGAAGCCAAAGATTTCCAAAGTCTTGAACAGCTCAATTTTGTCTTATTTACCGATGTGTGACTTGCAGAGGTTCACGCTCAGTTTTCCCTACTTTAAAGAAAATTGGACTCCCTGGTCTTCAAATCTTTACTGACAACCCAAGCATCTTACAGTATTTTACCTCTCATTTGTAGGATCGGCACAGTTGAGTGGGTACTTAAGTTCAATAACCAATCCATTCTTCTCTTTGAGTTGATTGCGTCCCTCAGTATAATGCTGTACCAGCTCTGCTAGTGTTGCAAACTTCTCCCCTCCATAAAGATCGAAGTAGTCTCCAGTATTCTGGATCTTAATGTGGGTCACCTCACCAGCACGCCTAGAATAAAACAAGATCAAAGGTCAGGACACGAGAAAGAAAACATCAGTATCAGGGTAATGATTTGCCAGGAGATTTTGTCATGTAAGTGATGTTTGCATTGAGAAAATCTGTCAACAAAGTTACAGAAACTGATCACCAGGCATTTTTCATTTGGGTTTTAACCCTAACAGTCCTCAGTCCTCCAACAGGTGAAGGATTGAGGAGTGTTAGGGTTAAGGGAGAGAAGGGCTTGACGAGTGACACATGGGGGAATCCCTTTACCCCAAATCTCATATATACAGTGCAGGCGATTTGGAGATTTGCTGCTAAATGTGCCAATTGTAACTAGGATGTCTTTCATTTCCTCTAGTAGGGTTTTGATCTTTTCTTACCTGACAGACAACGTGAAATCACCAGGGTTACTCTTACTTGGACGACAGAGAAAACTACCATCAAAACCACTCTCCATCAAGTAACGTTCTGCCTCCACCCCGAGAAGATTAGGATGAAACCATCTAAAAACAGGAAGAAAAATGAGTCCTTGAAATCTTGGAACATCAAAAACTGATATGTTTACAGTGCACGTCAGTTCAAACAATCTTTTTGATTACTTTTATTACCTCTAAGAACCTATTCTAAGCACTGGAACTCAACCACTGTGCACTTTAAAATTCCCACATTTAGTTAATTAAATTTTAATTTCCCCAAACCCCAAACTCAAAAAAAAAAAATCATTGTATACCAGTAGCAAAACTCATTTAGAATTTTACACATACGTGGAACTGGTGTATCAATTAAACTTTCTCCAATAAAAGGTTGATATCGAGTACAATCCCATAAAATTGGCTCACAATCAAGGGTTTAATAAGAATATTTTAATTAAAGGGAGTGTCTTTCAGTTCAAAGATCATGTTGATTGCTAGAACTGTTTTCAAAACAAACTGCCAGAGAACTGATAAATGATTTGGCACTTAAAAGAAACTACATGTAACTGAACAACTTTACAAGTGGACTCTAAACGTAATAGGTGAGATTTTGTAATGTTCATGATTAATCACCGAGTTTCAATTAAACCATCTCATTTCCAGGAAGTCTGTAAGGCAATCATTCATTTGTGTAATCAGTCATTGCCAATATACTATGTACACCAGCTCCATGCACTCTGTAATATACATGTATAATGAATATTGTATGTCCGTGTAAAGTGTACTGTAAAGTACTTTAATTTCATCTGTGTAATACATTTTTGCTAAGAATAAAACCACAGTGTGGATTAGTTCAATTAATGTTTAAGATCCTGAAGAGTACTGACAAATATCTGCTGTGACTGAGGGAAGATGACATGCACATGTAACAGTTAATGTACAGTATGTTAATTTACACCCACTTAACAACAAACTCACCTGCACATATAGTAAGTTATCAGGTATTTTACAGTACACTGTCCACGCAATCTGGTACAATATCATTTCTAGACAATACTGTACTTCAGATGATGCAAAAGCCACATTACAACTACATGTACATGCAGTTAAGCTTGATAGCAGGAATGTACATGTACACACAATGATAAAGTTACATTTACATCCATGTATCTACATGTATATAACTATTTAATACTGGAGAGACATGAGACTGGGTATATAAAACCCTGTTTGAAAAAAATCTGGATGTGTAGCGTCAAAAGAAATGCATTAAATGTGGACCTCAATACACGAAGTTATAAATGCAACAATATTGTTAACATGCGCACAACCACCACATTTTTATGAGGACTAAACGTGATGGTAACTGTTGTAAATGAGATACCAAAATGTGACATAAAAATAATGACGGATTAACCCTAACCCCCCAAGGGTTGCTGACCCTAACCTTCCCCATTCACACAAAGTTAAACACCCATATGGGACTTGGTGCACAGAGGTTGTTGGACTTTGTTTTTCTGAGGTATGCCAAACCCAATGCAAAAGCCAGCTGTTACGGGCCTACCAGACCTATCCCCACAGCATTAAACACTTTACTGTTTAATTTTGTGTGGTTGGGGAAGGTTAGGTTTAAAGAGTCTGCAGTGACTGTTATAAATGTTTGATTTTGTTCCTGTTGTGTTTGATGTTGTTATGCCTTCTAAATGTTTGTGCGTATGTTCAGTTGAATAACTGACAGATGGTGTATTTTGTAAAGTCATCTTAGTTTATGGTAACGTTCATAATTTGTGGTGTCCTGAGTGGTTATGAGCATGCACAATGATGCTGCTTTATCACCGCCAAAAGCTTTAGTTTGCCCAGTTGCCCCAATCGATTAGAAATAACCCATCTGTAAATTTAGAATGCCAAGAAATCTGCAACTGTTGCCTTGAATTAAATTTGCAGACTTTCTCACCGTGAATACAATTGCGTCCTGTTCGTTACGAGCGTGCATTGTGTATGGCGTCAAGCCTACACGTGCTGTGTGTTCCAGTATAACCACATAAACACTGCCTCGTACCCAGTAAGTATGGGCATCATGAACATTAACCATTTCCTACAACAGGGAACAAGGATGGGGTTGAAACCTTTGTCATGTCTTCATGTTGGTACAGCTGTTACGAGCGTGAATGTCAAAAAGTAAGGTTTGCAATCCAAGGAAATCTGAGTCAATCCACTACCATCGCACGATATTTTTTCATTAGAAGCCCAGTGTAAGAACTTACAGATACTATGTTACCACTCTGTTCCTCTTTTTTGGCAAACTATGTACTTACTGACCATTTTTGGGATGGTGGCATATGACGATGTACAAAAGTTGCTCGGTGTCCTGTTTTTACAAAAAATTTTCTCATCTAGATGTCACACCTTTGCAACAAATACCGTAATGTATACATACATTGTGTGACTGCATTGTGACATGTCACACATACATAAGTCCCATTTGATATGATCCAGACCAATGACAGTGTCTTTCAGCATGGAGGTACTGAACATGTAGGAGGTGTATACGTGTACCTCCTGTTTAACAGTTAACACTAAAAAAAAACATGTAAACCGATAACAATTTATCACAACAGTTTCACACAGGATATGGCAGTGTATATTAACCCATGACATTTCCTATTCCTTTGTAACAGCACTTTAACACATGGCCAAGGCGGTATCAACCAAGTGTTGAACCCTAAAAACCTCTGCACAAGACCTTTTATTCGGGACACATTTCATTATTCTTGCAATTTTGCTTCTTCAAATGAAAAACATGTGAAAACAAACATACAATGCCAAGCCAATTACAGGCTAAGGATCATTTCTGTGTGTAAAAAAATTGCGCCTATGATTATATGATTATATGAGGGTGCGCCGAACTTTTTCACTACGCCGATATGCAATTGCATACACGGATGTGTGGCTCAGGATGGAACGGGAGTGACAGTCCATGCCACACTAGTGGTGCTAAGCCAATTAGTTTATCAATTTAACAAAATGGCATATCACTCTCTCGCAATGCAATTACCACATGAAAATCTTTGGTTGGCAACAATCAATAAGTTACAATAAATATGCAGGCCTAGGCCCTAAACATGTTAAATCTATCAACCGACCAGCTATGGCCGTGTCCGAAACAGGCTTCCAGAGCTACGGCTAGCAATGTCTACGCATCTCCGCACATTTCCAATGAAGGGAAGACCTACATGTACTAGACCTAGCTCTAGACAACAGATTCAGCCTAAGTTAAAGACAAGTTTCACTGTAACTTTAGACTTCAGTCTTTACTTTTCTCTGAAAGTGCAAACTTGCCAGCCTTTCCTTACGGCTAGGGCCTACTCATGCTAGGCCTAGTAATTATACTCACATTTACGATTTAGTAACAGTGAAATATTATAAGTCTTCATATGTACATAATGAACACGATCAAACAATTCAATCTGTCGAAATTGGAACTGATTCAACCTCCATGGTTCAACTCTACAAACATGACGAAGTACAATACACGCACAAGATGCACTATGGAAATGCATGCAGCAATATTACTACCGCAGAGGTAAGGACACGAGTTATAAAATATTTTATTATTACCTTCGAGAAGCCATTTTCCTCTGCTGAAATTTCTAGGCTAGCTTCAGCTCGATGCAATGTGATCAGCAAACTGGCCCAAAAGCTGCAGCTGAATGGAAGGACTCCTATCCTTGCTCAAATGTCAGGACTTTGCTCGAAATTTAGCATATTTTCAGAGCAAAGACATGCAACCTTTCTCGCCTACTTTACACGCGCAACCAGGAAGTCCATCAGCCGTCGGCTATTTTAATTAAACTGGTCTCCAGCATATCATTCCTGCCCTATTGAGCAAAGAAGTGAACGCTGGGCACCAGTGTATATGTACAGTACGTAGAAAAGTTTTGTGCGCTAGAACCGCTTTTACGGATGCCAATAAAAGACAAAGTTAGAATCGATTATTCTGTTGCACATTTTTATTCATATACTGTACTTCGATTCTTTAAATTAAAAGACATATTGAGATACCTTGATTCCTAAAGTAATGAGATAATCTTTCTGTTAAAAACACAGAGTTTTTGATACAACGTGAGAAAGATAGTTTCAAGTCTCTTTGTAAATAGCAAGCTGAGCACGGTTCACAATAGCGCGCCTCCAATAGTTTGCAACGCGTTGGCCAATCACAATGTGCAAAATCTGTCGACCCTTTCCAAACGCGTATTTGGTTGAGATTTCGTGCATTGTGCTTAGCCAACGCGTTACAAACTCTTGTAGGGGTGCTATTGTGAAACGCCGGTGTTAATTATGCATTAATTCATCGAATAATCATCTTAATTTTTTGCTGAGAATATACAAGAATTGCTTACAAATGTTACAAAATGTAGATGTGATACGTATCTCTAAATACTTCATAACTGATTTTCATACATGTGTGTTTATTTTTAGTTTATGCCAACCCCCAAAAAATTTCAAAATATTTAAAAAATAAAGTCTAGTGTGATAAGGCTGACGTTCATGAATGCCCAGCATACTTGTCCCACTATCCAAGAGCCTCGGTGAGTGTTGGTGACCTCTTTGCGGTCTCATTGGACATATTTTGCCTGAACGTAACTGACCCAGGACTGTTGTCCATACCCCGCTTCTTCACTGGTGCAGCCAAGAGTCTAGGCTCCATCAAACATGTTCGAAAAATCGTCCTACCAGTGGATTAAATTAATGAAAATACATTGTTGTTCTTGTATAACAGCATATAAAAGCCAGTTAAATTGAGCGTCTCATCTCATCGACTGCTACCTGGGCTGCCTATATACTTTGAGCTTGTGTTCGTCCTTCAGGGCTCCAGGGTAGCCTAAGGCGGTACGATTGTTCAGTTTATATCTTTCGAACAAAACTGAGTACTGAGTACTGACTACTAAAAATCATTAAGACGATTGAGCCTGGGTGAAAGTCACTTCCATGTATTACAACAAAAATCAAATATGTCTTTACCCTTTCCCGCAAGCTATAGGTACTGAAACAACCGACTCAAAACAAGATTCAGCATACAACAGTTTTGAAAGTTACCCACTTCGTCGATCCTTTTTGAAAGTTACTTCTATTTGGCATTATAGTGGTCTCACTATAGGTCATTAAGGAATGACTTAGTCAATAGCCCTTGGTCAAGTGCCTCTTCGTCCATAATAATCAATGTATGATCATTTGACTGACTGATATCACAGTCAAATGAAGGGGCGTATGTGGACTCGGCTCGGCCGAGTTCCTCCCAGGATTCAAATCCACGGATACCGAAAATTTCTCGGAATAATTCAGAAATCGCCCCAACATTTTTAAAATCCTGCTCCCGTCCTTCGTGGATTAGGGCGTCCGGAGCCACAGTGGTTTCTTCTGACGATGATTTGTTGTCTTGCGGATCATCGGTCAAGCTGTGGTTGAATTGGTCATTGTTCGCGACGTATCCATCACAAGATCCCTGGTCCATATCTTCGCTAGGTAAATCATCTTCGTCTCCATATCCCGCTGATGGCCACGCTGATTGCTCCAAAAGTAGTTCATCTTTCGCCAAACTACAAGCATTTAATTAATGAATGAAATCAGAAAACAGCAGGACTTGATAACCGCTTGGATACAAAATCAATTTGAATAAAATTGTTTTTAATTCTTAGCCTGAAACGCGATATTGGGGCCAATAAGGCGGGCAGGGCACGAGCTCGCCAGTGGCTGGAAAGGAGTTCCCGGCGGATATAAAGATTTCATAATGGTCATGGGCTCCTGAATTTCAAGGGCTATTTGAAGCTTTCCGCCTCGGAATGTAAGATAGTGATGCGGGCATCTTGAGTCATTGCCCTCTCACCGGTCCTTCCTGCAGTCGCTGGTCGCATCCAATCGTGACGGTCTATCCAAGGGATTCTCCTTCACACAGTTAATGATTAAATTGTCTTGCTCAGCATCTCCAACCATTCCTGAGAAAGGTCCAGAAAGAAATAAGAGACACGCTCCCAGGTAGATTAACCGATGGCTGAGAGGCTTCTAAATTATTAATTTGTTCTCGTGAAATTATGGGCTGGAGAGGCATCATATGATAGACTTGATGGAAAATACTGTATTGAGAATTTCGTCCAACAATGGATGAACTTAACTATTACCCGTTTATTACGCATAATTGAATGATATACTGCAGTGTGTTTAAAGAAACAAGTGCTCGCAACGTTTACAACTAACCTCTGTTTCATCTGATAAACAAATGGAAGCAGCTAAACATCCATATTTCGCATGCTTGATTATAAAATATTTCGAGTAATATTCTACACGGAATCTTTGTTTTCTTCTGGAGCGTCAGGATACGCCGAGCGTCTGGATAAACGCGTGCTCAAGTAAAAAAATGCACGCGGGCTAGTAATTTATTATTAGGAAAAACTTCGAAACTCCAGAGAGCCAGCCATCATTGTGCTCCGTACGTGCGATTTACAGGGCCGTTTTCCAATACTCAACTTCGTCTTTGTCGCAGGCTTCGTGTTGGAAGCCAATCCTCGATTGTGGGCCTGAAGCGTTTAACTTAAATTGAAGAACTGTAATGTTTGGCTCTTTTGCATATATCTTAATACTTGTTTTGTGGCTCTATATCAGACTTACTATTGCGCTTATAACCTCAAAGTCAGGAAGTAAAAAAAACAGTTGAAGCCTGACGGAGCCCAAGTCGAGTATTCAATGGAAAAACAGCCCAGGATCCCGTCAAAGAACACAAATGTCTGCACCAGTAGTGTGTGTATGAAAGAACGAAGTTTATCGTTTCCAGCTTACTGCAACTGTGCTGAATGATATTTTTAGTGATTTCTTCTGTGCACGCAAAAATAACATTTCCTTGTGTTCACCTTCAAGTTTCACCCGCCCCACATTGCCACCTGCTGAAGAAGGTTTGAGCCCGGCTGGGTCCGAAACTTGTGCCTATGGTTGGAACAGTTCGCTCCCCTCCCCCTGGGGGGTGGAGATGAACAGAGCCAATGGTAAGCGGCTACATGAACTATTTCCCTGTGCCTAGTATTTACAGAGGTGAGATGGTTTTATCACTTTGGCGCTCCGCTTTAAAACTCTTGCGGAAATCTCACTCTTGGGGGCGCTACATCAGCTATTATTTTGCACGTGCGTCACACTAGCACTTCGCTGTCGTCGCGATCATTGCGGGGCAGCAAAATCTCAGTCTTCAGTTTACAATGATTGTCTTTGCTAGAATGCTAAATGGGGTTTGTCATTTGACGACATTAAACTGTTTAAGGACTTTGAGTCACGCAGAAAAGACGTCTACTGCTGCAAAATTAAGAACAGGTAGCTACATGTAAAATGTTACAAAACTTTTACATGCGTTGTTATGTTGCCTTCACCACTAGTGATATGCATGTTTTTGGCATACTTTGAGTGTGTTTGTTGGACTTTGTGTAAATATCAAGGCATTGAAGGTTTTACTTTATCATCACCCATCAGGATTTTTGTTTTTTCAGTGAACATAACATGCACAATGTGTCAGTCATGTCAGTACCCCACCCAATTAATCATCCAATGAAACTTGAAGCTTTTGCCAGTTTGCTGTGGGGCAGTGCGGACATGCGGGAGTTTCACAGAATCGCTGGTAGCAACCACACCGCACTGATGAAAACAACTGCAACGAGCGTGCGCATGCATACTGATCAAAGAAAAAGATTGTGTAACCTGATCCTTGGACTGGCTGTGCGTGCAAACTCCACAGTTAAAGGGGCAGCCATGGTCGCTGTTTTCACCAGTGCGGTACCTGCCATTTTTTGAGTAACCTGGATGTCCCTGCTGCCCCATATGTTGTTGGGACATGTTATGATAATTATATAGGGAGGGATGTGTGGATTTACATGATCACTCGATCTTTGGACCATCTAACAGTCTTACTGCATGATTTTCCAAAAATTCAACCATCAATCAATTGCCTTTTCTTTTCCACTGTGTTTATAGTACATTGTTTTGAAAAAGGCAAGTAGGCCTAACATTGGAGATTTCACACACAATCATCAACTGATAGTATATTGCAATCTCACAATTGTGCAGACCGACTGATCACACCAAACAGTAACAATAAATTACTGTTCTGTTTAAATGATTTCTGAAAAAAGGCAAAAGGATTTACTGTCATAACCATTATCTGATTGCATTTTCTGTATGTAGGAATATTACGTTTCAGGCTGAGATATGTCCTATGGATGGTGGCCCAGAGAAGCCATGCAAGGTCATACTGTTCGAATAACATTGGGCATGCTAGTCATGGGTCAACATACACAACATCACTTTTGAAAGCGCGGTTTGCCTATCACAGATTGAACAGAAATGGTAAGGGTCCTTGACATTTTGTAGAAGCAGTTTGGAAGTATAGACAAACAACTGGAAAATGAAAGAATTCACATCCTTTGCAGATTTGAAGGTCTTACATTTAGATATGCTAATTATGTGTTAGTTTGAAGGAATGAAGGATATTTTGTTTCATGAGGATTACATGTAGAAGCTTGTCTTGTACAGCATGGTTTGGAAATTCCTCACAGTATTTATGTATTCTGGCATTTTTTCATTGTTCTAATAGTTTCATCTCAGAACACTCACAGTGTGAGTGTGAAAGATGCATCCAAGGAACACCAGCAGAAACCAGTGGAAGCAGAACGTTGCAATGTATCAAAGTTGGAGAAAACCCCCTCTCCCACGGAGCCAAGAACACAAGAGAACCCTGCTGATGTGTCACAGCAGACTCCTGTTCTGACCAGGCCCACATCCTTGCTAAGAATTCCTGCTGCAGGTGAGGATAAACGAGTCAACAAACAGAATAATAAAGCCTCAAGTCAGAAGGACGGACGGTTTTCAACATCAGTAGCACCATCACCTATCAAGAAGAGAGCTACTGCATCGGTCTCAACAAATGCATCATCATCAAAACAAACATCAAAAGCATCCCCAACAAGGAAGAAGGTGTCAAAGGAAAAGGTGCTGGTGTCACATAAGAAAGGCCAAAACCCTCAGAAGAATATTTTGTCCTGTTCTGGCCAAGCAAAACTTTCATCCACAAAACCAAACACTCAGAGCAAGGCTGATGCAGGGATCAAGGGAGCAAAAACTGGTAATCAAAATACAAAAAAGAGTAGCACGTCTAAACTTGATAGGGGCAAAACTGCATCGATTCAGGCAAAGTCCAAAGGGGCAAGTAAAAGTAAACCTGAGACAGGAAACCAGCAAACTTTGACTGGTAACCAAACTCTAGTTGGGAACAGTTCAACCAGTCACAAGGAAGCAGCAATCATGTCAGCTGTGTCACAATCTCATTTGGCAAATTATGCCAAATCTGATACGAAGGCACACAGAATAGAGACTAGCGCTCAACCTCACAAGAGTGATTCAGCAAGTGACCCTGATGGTTTGGGTCAGTCATTTGGTCAAAGGTCAAGTCAAAGTGCAGGTCAAAAGTCAAGTATGGCTACACAAGCAGCTGCTGACTCTGCCTATTCAAACAGGAGTTCTACTATGAATCACCCTCTCAATGGTGCAATAGTAAGTGAAGCAAGTGCAATTCCAAGTGAGCCTTTTAACTTGTTAACTGCCAGTAAGAGGAATTACTTCAGCACAATACAGTTCAAACACATGATACCGCCAAAAGTTGGAACGAGGAGCAAACTCCACAAAGGACTAAATGAGTTCAGGGACGAGCACAATGAAGCTACCTTTTTTGATTCTGCAGTGGACAGAGACTTTAATGTGGATGAGGTGGTCCACACCAAAGTCCAGTCTAAATCTAGCAAGGAGAAACGTCACTACTGGGGTATTGTAAAAACCCCACAAGCTTACCTGCAACCCTTCATGGATGTCAGCATCTTCTGTGGCATGGTGAGTATCTCATCTCCTGACAATGTTCTGCACTCCAATTACAGCAGTTTGCAATCAAATTTTGTTCGCCAAGCATGAAATATTCAGTGACAAATTGGACAGATTTTCATGCAGATGAAACTGATTTATTTGGCTCCAAAAGAACAGGGGGATCTTATGGTTCCATACTAAGGATGTCCGACTTTCAGAATCACAAAAGTAAGATTTGGTACTCAGAATTTGCTTTTCCCATCTAGGTCCAGGAAGCGCAAGCGTTGTTTGACTCTGCCAGACAACATGACCAACCACTAGAAACAGATCATTATAACACTATGCTGCAAGCATGGGCAAGAAAAGTAAGTCATGTTTCCTAACTTGCATGATTTGTTGGTGTTTCCATCGCTTCAGTCTTCTTTTGCTTCAGGTTTGTCATAATTCCAAGAATAAATCACTCTGTTTATTTCAGGGAGATCTTCAACAGGTCCGGAATTTGTTCTCTCAGATGACTGCAAGTCAAGTGAAGCCAGACCTACAATCTTATGCTGCTGCATTGGAATGTATGGGACGGTAAGGCCCTGTCTATTTCTGCCAAAAATACTGTATGAGAGAGAAAACTGATGTCTTTTTGCTAACATTGTTTAGCAAAACTGTTCAAGTATCTTGATGAGTAAAATTGGCTAGGCAGCCCCCAAAAAGAAAGCATGTCATGCAATGCCATTACTAATGTGGATGGCTTAAATCTTATCAGATTCAGTTTGCTTATTTACCCAGAATGAAGGATACTGACCGCAGCACTGTCACCAAATGCCTAGAGCAAATGGAATCCGAGAAACTATCAGTCTCTGATATCTTCAACGTCTGTAAATTCACCAATGATAGTAGAGAGGTCATCCTGCGTTTACTTCAAGATGTCATCCCAGGGTTCCAAGCCCCGCCTCCTTCACAGCGCCCTCAGTGCCAGCTACAAATTGTTCAGGATCTGTATGGAGAAGGCAACTCAACAAGCAAGGTTTACACTGCCTATGATTTGAATGACTTCGTTTCACATGTCGCATCATTTCTGTACAATTCCATTACTTTTTGTATTTGCATTTTGCCATGAGGGCTCTGGTTGCACGGTATAGGTGTCTAATGCCACTAGGCACATTTGTATGGTAGTAATTTAAGCTAGTAATTATTTGCATTTCAGACCAATGCAAGCTCTTCTGATGTCATCACCAAGGAAGAGATTCTCTGCAAGCTAGATGAACAGATGGATATGGAGAAGACAGAGACAGTGATGGTGCCGTCTATAGAACAAGAGAATCCTCTGACTAACCACACCCTTCAAAAGGTACAGTACATCAACAGCCACGCCCTCTTTCATCAGTAACCATATCCTTACCCAGAAGCCACACGTGCGTGCATAGGGATGAATAGTCACACCCCCGAATAGCTTTGTCTCTGGGAGAAAAAAAGGCCAGGCCCATCGAAGAAGGTTGATGGGTTCATTTATTGAAGTAAAGAATCCTCCCAATGACAAAATGTGAAGGCTTATCACACCTCATTCCTCTTATGTTGTTAAATGCTGAAACTGTGTACATGTAACATTTCCAAAACTAACCTTTTCTTCTTGCTGCAGCGTGCTATCTTGGAAGAGCATCGACAGTTATGGCAAAGTGCCTTATTGACAGCCTTGAAATTTGAAATTCAGAAACTTGCCAAGATAAATAAGGTCAAACGTAAGTAGAAAATTGTTTCTACTGTGAGTAGTGGAGTCTTTTCAGATCCATTGACCCACAGCGGATAACACCAATATGTTTTGAGTTTGAATGAAAATCGCTCATGGTGATCTTAGATAAAGTTTAAACTTTATTTACATTACCAGAAAACAACAGAACCTGGACTTCTGAATTCATGTGAAAGACGGATCAGAAACATAGTTAACTGCAGCTTGTCAGTGAAATTTGCCAGAAATTGTGCTTTTGGCCATTGTGAATTTTCGATATTTTTAATAGAGCTGTCAAAATAAATTACAAGCTGAACCATATGTGCCACTTTACCGCAGGAGCGACAGTTGGCAAGTTGAACTTCTACCCCTTCCTGTCCATCATGGATCCCAAGGAGTATGTAGAACTAATGCTAGAAGCTTTACAGAACCTAGCTGTGTCAACAGAGGGCAGTATGACAGTGTCACTGGCCAGAGAACTTGGTAACAGGGTCCAACGGAAATTCTTCATTCGAAGGAAGATAAAGATAGGTGTAGCCGACAAGGTATTGAAAATTTCATTTTTTTGGCATGCAGTAAAACTACTAAAAATGCCATTTATAAAAAGTAGTTTGACATCACCAGACACGGCTTAAACTAGTTTTGTCTGCTTATTTGTAGTTACAGGAACTATACAGACAGTATGTGAGTGAGGGCGTTGGTTTGAAAGTTCTGAACTATCGAGAACTGTGGCAGAGTCTTGAAGACAAGAACCCTGAAGGGCCCACTGTGGTAAGCAGACATTGTATGGTTTGGTTGTGCAACAATGAAGTATGAATTTTTTATTAGAGGTAGTCCATTTTGATCTTACGTCTGCTTGAATCTTTTTGTAGGATGCTGATGTACAAGGCTGGCCTGCAAATATAATTTTAGGGGTAAGTTGTGATGAATTAAGCGTTTCTTAATTTTTGTCCTCTTTTCTGAGAAAAGTTTAGACAGTGGACTAATCATTAAGAGTTAATAGATGGCAGGATTTTATATTAAGGATTTTGCAAATGTTGATGAATTTTGAAAGGTTGAACTTCAACCTAAGGCATGGAAAATGTTTAGAAAATTACCGGAATCCAAGGGATTTTCGGAGGAATTTTAATAGTTTTGTGTATTCAACTTTTTCCACAAGCTGGGAAGTCTTCTTGCTGACATCATGATCAGAGAAGTCAAGATTAATATAAACATGGTCAACAGCAAGAAAGAGAAGTAAGTACCATCAATAGTAGTATCTTGTCTTGAAAGTAAGAGACATCCTGAAGAAGTGAAACAATTGGTAACTACCCTTTCTCCCTCATCTTTGTTTTTTTACAGAAAAATGATTCCAGCTTTGTATTACATGTACACCTACAGGAGTTTCAAGCAAGTTGGATATGTGAAGGTTGGACACCATACTTTGAGTCAACAGTTTAGTGTTTGACTTAATTTGGGAGTTGTCAGTTTTGCAATAGCAATAGTAGTTGAGTTCTAATAGGAGTATAGATATTGAAAGTTGGCGTTTTTTGTTTTCAATTTCTCATTCTTAGCCACACCCATCCCTCGTTGAGTTGCTTCAGCAAGCCAAGAAATCCCAGATGCCATTTGAGAGCAACCTTCTGCCTATGCTAACCCCTCCCATCCCATGGACCTCTGTCAAGTTCGGAGCTTATCCTCTCAGTACCAGTAAGTTACCATGACAACCAGTGCAGTTTCAGTCAATTAAATTTTGTAACTAGTGAGATCTAAAATAATCCATACTGCCCTGTTCTTGTTTGCAGCTAAGATCATGCGTTGTAAAGACGGCACAGCCCAACATCAGCTTCTACTGGAGAAGACTAAGTCAGCTGAGTTGTATCCAGTACTAGATTCTCTCAACCAACTAGCAACTGTACCATGGAAAGTCAACAAACCCGTGAGTTATAAAGATGACTCTACAAACAGTCCAAGATGGTGCTATCGACTTCATTAAATATGTTTTGAATGGATACTTGGGACTAGAAATGCCATCCACTACATCTTTTCCCTTTTTGTTTCTCCCACTGCAAATTTGTTAAACTAAAAGGTGTATTTATGTTCCTGACAGGTCTATTCCTTGTACTTGTTTTCAGATTCTCGACATAATCATGGCTGTGTTTAGGGAAGGAGGAAGTGAAGTGTTGGACATACCCCAGCCACCATCTGTGCTCGCTCCTGTACCCAAACCGACAGGGTAAAACATTTCATTGCCAGATTCTTACCTTTATCACGTAATGTTCTTGATTTGGCTTTGTAACCCTAACTTAGTCGTTTTAATTTCCAGAGAGGCCACTGCAGAAGAACTGGCAAAGGTTCAAAAAGAGAGGGCAGCATTGCGCAAGAAGCAGGCAGAGATGCATTCACTACGCATGGACATGTTATATAAGTTGTCCATTGCTGATAAGGTGAATCTCAGTTTTTGTTTAGGAAGAACTTTGATAAGATTCATATCAGAAAGAGATAAGTAAACACAGATAAAGTGGTGTACTTTCTGAATCTCAATTCTAGTATCGTGATGAAGTGACGTGGTTTCCACAAAACATGGACTTCCGTGGGCGTGTCTACCCCTGCCCTCCTTACCTTAATCACATGGGCAGTGATGTCAGCAGGAGCATTCTATTATTTGCTAAGGGGTTACCATTAGGGAAGGATGGGCTAGATTGGCTGAAAATTCATCTGGTGAATCTGACAGGACACAAAAAAAGGTAAACTCAATTTTTTTCTACAGAGTGTAAATGTCTAGAAATTAAAACGTAAAATGAGTTTTTTAATTAAAGCCATATCAGTTTTTATTCTTTCAAAGAAAAGAAAAGTATTTGAATGTTATTTATAAATGTAAACTTTTTCACAGGTGTTCATTGGCTGAGAGATTAAAATATGCAAATGAGATGATGCCAAAAATTAGCGACTCGGCTGAAAATCCACTGAATGTAAGTGTTTTGTAGGTTAATTCAGATAATGTCGTTTTACAAAGAAGTTTTGCAAATATTTGAACTGTTAGTGTATTCTGTATTGAAAGTTTGATGTTTTGTTGTTTTAGGGATTTGGCTGGTGGACAACTGCTGAAGATAAGTGGCAGGTCTTGGCTTGCTGTATGGAGATCAACAAGATTATGAAACACCCTGGAGATCCCAGTACATATGTCAGTCACCTACCGATACACCAGGTGGGTGAAAGAACAGGCTTAGAATCAGTAATGAGGATTAGTAGAGAAAATGAAGTATGTGGGTAGGAAGAAAGTAGAATACTAGTGGGGAATGGGGTCAGGATAAGAGAAGGGGATGGGTACAGGATGGTGTAGGAGACGGTGTGAGATTGGGAGATGGGATTGTGATGAGGACAAAAGGTGGGAATTGGGAGTGTTGTAATGGAGTGGAGAATTGGGTCAGTTCATCGGTTGGGGATGGTTCATCGGCTGATACCTTATCCGGAAAGCAATAAACATTACTAAACATTCAAATAGGTGTGGAGTGCATTTGGTGGAAATGCAGCTTATGTGAATTAATGTTACTATTTGACAGGATGGTTCGTGTAACGGTCTTCAACATTATGCAGCCTTAGGTCGAGATGTCGTAGGAGCACGGCAGGTTAATCTAACTGATACAGAAGCACCCCAAGATGTCTACAGTGGAGTGGCAGAAATGGTAATTGCCGTGGTGTTGACTTGCTGCAGAAATGCAATGCACTGCTCCTTGTGCTGCTTTGTTCTTGACTTAGAAGTGTTCTGAAACTTGGGCTGAGTCAATTTGAGTAATTCACTATTTGAATATTCCACCTCAATTTGATCAAATATCCACATATTTGGTCATAACGATCGGTAGATTGTTGATGAATAAACCATATACAATATCAGTTGCAGTAACACACACAGTTGTACATTATGATCAATATAATAGCTTCTCACATCTAGGAGTATCTCCAGCCACGATTTTGCAAGATTTAAGAGATGAACAAGACTTCTTGCCCTGTTGAAAATTTCTATTCTTTTTTGTTTTTTTAATGCATAATTTACTTTTTAAATCGTAAGATTTCTTTTGCTTTTCATTTGAATCTGCTTGAAACAAGCCTCCATAGTGCGATGTTTCTCATTTAAAACAAAGGAAAATTTCCCTTCCTTTTCATGAATTTTGCGTTTGGGTATTCAAATTCAAAAAATATTTTTTGAGTATTCAACAATCGATCGAATATTCGGTTATTCGGCACAGCCCTAACTGAAACGTGTACTTCAAACTTCATTCATTGCTGGAATTTGTTGAATCTGGTTCAGTGCCAAGGTTTCTATTCAAAGAGGAATTAAGTTTGAAATAACACTGAAATAAAAGCACCAATTGACCAAACTTAGTTCAGCAAGATTCTCAGTTTACGTCTCTGCACCTTGAGGTTTTAAGTAGCAAGAAATAAGTCTAGGTGTCGATATCTATTGTGTTTCTGTTGTAGGTTGGAGACATTTGCAAGAGAGATGCACAAAATGGAGTGCATCTGGCTCGCATGCTGTGTGGGCAAATCCATCGCAAGGTAGGCCAATAAAATTACTATGGCTAGTCTAATGAAAATGGATGTTGGCAAAGCAGTAACATGCCTATTGGTCCCCCCCCTCAGGTTGTCAAGCAGACCGTCATGACGGTCGTGTATGGAGTGACTCTCTATGGAGGTAAGTTACAAATCTTGAAGCAGTTGAAGGAGTCAAGCAACATTCCTCCAGAACAGATGCAGTATGCCGCTGGATATCTGGTCCTCAAAGTCTTCCAAAGTCTGCGTCAGATGTTTACCAAGACCAGAGAAATACAGGTGAATATCTTGTACGGCCTGACAAAAGGCCTGTGGAGAGAGTAATGTTTAGATTTTGGGGAAAAAATGCAAAATAATGGGAGGTTGGGGGCTGTAAAAACTGCAGCCATTGATGGGATTTCAAACCACGTTAAAGAATAAGAAATGCCACTTCTCAATTCTACAAATTTGTGAACAGTTTCTGAGCTTGTCAGCCAGTCAAAGTGTATTGGTCTACTTGATTGCTTGGGTAACAAGTGACTTGAATATTATCAATTCATTCCAGGATTGGTTGACTGAGTGTGCTTGGCTGATTTCCAAAGCTGGACAAACAGTTGAATGGGTCACCCCACTAGGTTTACCAGTGGTCCAACCTTATCATAAGAAGAATCTCCGAGTCATTAGCCATGCTGATCGGATCATGTACCATGAAGATCGAACTGATGACACAGAGTAAGTCGTATCTGTCCATCCTTGTGTCAGCACAAACCAGATAATGTACCAAATAACTTGCCCTCAGTAGCTTTTCTGAACAGAAGTTTACACAATACTTCGGTCATTTCTTGGGATGGAGTCTCATTTTATGAACCTAAATCTTGCTTTCACATTTTCTCCACAGGCGGCCAGATTCCATGAAGCAGAAGAACGCTTTCCCACCTAATTTCATCCATTCCCTTGACTCTACTCACATGATGCTGACATCTCTCTATTGCCACAAAGCTGGCATAGACTTTGCCTCAGTGCATGATTGCTTTTGGACTCATGCGTGCTGTGTCCCCGTCATGAACAAAGTAAGCTACTGCTATTTCACTGGTTTCTCTATGTGCACCTGTTGCCGCTCAATCAATTCCACTCTGACTCGTGGAGAAATTCTGTGGTAAGAGTTACTCTTAATGAAAATCTGGACTGCCTGCATTTTTTTTACACCAGAACCCACCCAATGGATACGACAAACCAACTTTGGGATCACTGATCGTGATCCAGATCCGTGTGAAACAAACAGGACCTACATCAACAAAATGTAGGTTTCATTGGCTCACAAATAATTATTTTTTTTCTGCTATAAATCATTAGTATGTTCATTCTTTTCAGATTTGCAGAGAGCAGTTTGTCAGGCTCCACAGTGAGGAAATTCTTCAAGATCTGGCAGACTTCCTGATGCAAAAATATGGTCATTTGTAAGTCATCACTACATGTATTTTGAATATACATGTAATAGCAAACTGTTTAACTACACTTAAGATCAACATCTCTCAATGTTCATAACAAAATCTCGTTACTTTTCCCCTCAGAAACATAATTAGCACTGCCAAGTTGTTGAAGACCAACCCAGAAATGAAAACCATCGGAGATTATATCATCCAGGTTCCTGAAAAAGGAAAATTTGACCTCCAGAAAGTCTTGCAATCAACATTCTTCTTCAGTTGATAACCCTTAATAAGAGGAAGAGATTTTAAATTACCCTGTTTCCTATGGATGTGTGATCTGTGCTCAGTGTTACTACTGAAAATTCTGCCTACAGAAAAATTCCACATGGGCAAGTTCTTCATGAATGTAAAGTCAGTGTTGTACAAGCTACAAGCATTGTAGATTTATCCTGTCTTAGCTTGATGCAGTTGTGAGCTTGTCAGGTAGAATAAACCTTTTGTGACTTAAATTTGAATAAAATCTGGTACATATACACCAAGTTATTTGATTGCACATAAACATACCAACTTGAATTCCCCAGACTAAAGACACTGTATACCTCGTGATTCTATACCCAGCAAGAAATGAGACCGAGGGGTACCCCC